CTCAACACATCTGGGCCTCTGAGGTCCTCTGCCTTCACATAGGCATTGTAGCACTGGCTCTCTGTTTTATGGAACAGGCCTTTCGAATTTTAACACCAGCTCTGTGACGGAGTGGAAAGCGTTTCCCGTGCACATATTCTGCAATGCAGGCTGACGAAGACTTCAGCTGCAGCTGCACCTGCAGAGCCATGTGGTCTCCTCAGACTCTGACACAGGAGAGAGACTACCGGAGGGCCACGGGTGTGCTTCCCCCCACACAGAAACACTCCCGTCAGTTCTTGCTGAAGTGCCCTGTCTGCAGCTCGTACACGGCTCACCTGAAACTGAGCAAGCCACGTAGAGAAATACAGGCTTGAACGCCACCATCTTCTGTGCTCTGTGTTACCCATATGGGATTAATTTCTAAAAATAAAACATGAATGCTTAACCTTAGGCGTGTAGATACTACAAATGTCCTGTGGTTTGTATATAGCATCTGACAGTAGTCTTAGCCACTATTGGAAAATGAGATCATAGTATCTATCTTTTCTGTGTTCATCAGCCATCCCTCTGCCAGCACAAAATACGTGACCCCAGAAACTTAGAGGAAACTTTAATTTTGGCTCAAAGTTTCAGAAGTCTCCAAGATGACTGGCTGACTACAGACTCTGCACAGCGTGAAGAAGGGCCTGCTAGAGGGATATTCTCAGTTCCTGGTGGGCAACAACAGAAGGACAAGGGACAGGGACAGAGTCAGGCCAGGAAACATGACCTCCAAAGTCTAGGAATCCACATCCTCCAAGTGGGCCTCACCTCCCAACAGCCCATGGGGCTGTGAACTCCCTGACTTACTATAGAGTTCAGCACCCTCATGCTCCAAGCATCTTCCGAAGGCCCCACCTGTGAGCCCGCGAGACCCTGGGACACATCTAACATCTAAACCATAAAATGTTCCTTTCTGGTAAAGCTGAAATTGGGAAAGGTTAACTTCCGAACCTCAGCTGCTTTAGCTACAGAACCATCCTATAACCATACGCATGCACGTGGCCACCAGAGAGGTATGGCAAGCCTTCCAGGAGCTGAAAGCACAGACAGGACTGTGCAGAGGACAGAAGGGACCAGCTCCTGTCATGGAAACGCTATTCCTGGGTCTTAAATGACACAGTATGGTTGTGGGAGGGGGCTTTTTAAACATTTCTTTTGTTTGTATGTCATTTAGACAGGGTCTCACTATGTAGTTTAGACTGATGTAGAACTCACTATGTAGCCCAGGCTGGTCACAAGCTCACAGCGGCCATCCTGCTTCAGCCTCCTGAGTGCTGGGATCACACGTTTGCGCCACCACAACTGGATTTTTTTAAACATTTTTGAAAAGGTATTTTTATGAAATAGAAAAAAATCTATTACACAGAGGGTGACAGTCACGAACAGTATTGTAGTATATACATCAAAAGAGAAGAAAGAATTTTCAATGTAATATTTGAGTCACAAGTAGTAAACATTTGTGTTAGTGGATAAAGTGCCCTGAGTTTGGCAGCACACCTGGTATGTGTGTACTGAAGAGTCACACTGTGCTTCATCTGGTATTCAATTATTGTCTGCCAGTGAAATAAAATTATTATATAAATTAAAAAAAGAGTACAAAAAGTGGTTTCAGAGAAGAAAAAGTATCTTTGAGAAACAGTAAAACTGAGAGTGAAAAAAAATTAAATAATCTTAAAACTACAATTAAATAGGAATACACTGTACTTGGGAATGGAAAATGATAAAGCCACTTCCATGAACATGTGCAGGTTCTTATTCAATGAAGTATGCACCACACGACCAAGCAATCCCATTACTGCGTATTTACTCAAATGAAATACAAATCAATATTCACACAAAAATGTTAGAAAATGTTTTGAGCAATTTTATTCATAAACAACAGGCACAAGATCAAGAAAAGTTGCCCTGAGATAAGACTGAGAAAAATAATGTATGAAGTTCATTTTTTATATTCATCACCATAATAAAATATTTCCCTACAAATATATATATAGCAAAATAGCCCCAACTGAGTTTGTGCTGAGCAAAAGATGCTACTATCCGAGCCCACTTCTACGATTTGAAGGAAGGACATTTTTGCAAAGGCAAAATTATATAGAAAAATGGTATATTAGTTCACTCAAAACTGGGTACAAGAGAAGTTGATATCACAAAGATCAGGAAATTAAATAATGGTTGCATGATATCACATTTAACAAAAATTCTTAAAAGTCTAACATATTGTGCATACTGCTCTGTGGGATTTATACATTTATGAGTAATTTACAAAGCACATGTAAATACTCAGAATATACAAGCTAGAGGCCACAGGCAGTTCGCTTCTTCCCTGGGAAAGAGGGAAAGGAGCTGCAGGTGCTGTCCCCGGGAAGTCCCCAGAGCCCGTGTCTGTATAATTTACTCCTGCTTCCTCTGCACTGGCTTCTGATATCACTCACTACTCTAGGCCACTTCCCTTCACAGGGCCCAGACTGCAGTCCTCCCCCTTGAACAGCCTTCCTTCATCTGAACGGAGACAGCTGCTCATGCAAACGGGCTTTCTCCCAATTTCATGATTTTCTGGGAGCCTGCGACATAGTTAAGGGCAGACCTCAAACATTAGTTTGAGTGAATTGAAAATGATACTGTTTATGAATACAATTCTGTGATTTGTGTGACAGAGGCAATTTTATTGGTTTCATTTTACAGTTTAGGAGGAGGTAAGTGACTCTTCTAAGGATCTAGAAAACATACGTGGTAGATTCTGGACTTGAATCCGTATTAATACCCCTTGTTCCATGGGTTCCTTCCCACCTCAGATACCCAGGAAACATTGACCTGAGGGTGAGCTTTTCAGCTACAAGTGCGGCATTAACCTGTTGTTGAATTTCTGATTTCAACTTCAATGTTGAGAGTGATGCATGTATTCAAGGAGCTAAGTGAGCTACAATTATCAAAATGCATTCTTAGGAAAACGGTATCTCGTGTAGGAGCCATGGAACAGCTATAACTACTGTCATTTATTGAGCACAGAAATCTGTTTTAATTTCTTTCCTTAGAAAGAGGTGACTAGGAGATTGAATGGCCAAAATCCCATCGGTGGGCAGGCAGTACTTAATTAAGGTACAGCATGTTGCTCCTCTAAAAATTTAGTCAAAAACAACAGTATAGGTCATGCGATGACTGGTGGTGGACATTTCCTCTGCTTCCCTACATGGTATTTTAGCCCTGGGGATAAAGGAAAAAGAAACTGAGGAGTGAAAGAAGCCCTACTTAAGTTAGATGAAGCATCAAAAAGAATCAGCAAGTTCTGAATTTCACTTTAGTGTTTGATCCTGTAACTTTGTCCTTATCAATACCAGCACCTCCATCCACAATAATACAGTATGACTCAGTCACAAGCTGCTTATTATATCCAAACAGAGTTTAAATCTTGGATCTTCCTCATCCTGCATGTGTAACTGTAGAGCATCATGAAACTCTCAAATCTGCAATTGCCTTAATGGTAGAAAACAAGGTAGCAAGACACAGGGAAGATGCACACACACACACACACACACACACACACACACACACACACACACACCACTTCTATATATCATGCCAGGACTATTGTTAACACAGGAATGTTTGCTAAAAGGGGTCCTGGGTGCTAAGACTGCTGCCAACATACTCCTCTCAGGGCTTTGGATCATAAAGAGAAGTTGCCATAGGTTAAGGAAGAGGGTGGCTGGGCGTAGCATTTCACCTGGGATAGCAGCCTTCAGAAGACTAGACGTTCAAATGAGAAAAATCCAAACACTATTAGTCCACAACACCAGCCTCCAGTAAAATACTTTTAAATTTTGCAATATATTATTTTCAACTGACAAATAATAATTGAATATATTCATTAGGTACAATGTAATGTTTTAATATATGCTTCCAAAATTGAATGTGCCACAAAGACAGGCTCTAGGCTAGGGTCACACACAACCTGAATGTTCATCCCTCAATCTCAGTAATTGAAATAAGGGGAAATGCTGCTGAGAGAAACAAGGAATACAAGAAATGTACACATTCTTTCATTCCTTCTTCCCTCCTTTCATTTTGTTTTTAGCTTTACCTGTTATTTAATGCCACAGGATGGGCTGTATAGCAACTGGCCTAGACGTTGTGGCTGGATTCTCTCACTGCAAGCTGATCTATAGATTTCAAGAAAGAAATTATGGAAAAACAAAACAAAGCTCCCTGCTAAACTGGAGAGATAAAGCAGGCAGAGAATACCTGGGGCATGTAGAGAAAATCCAGTGGCCCTACGGTGAGCAGAGCTATTGGGAAGGAAGTTTCAAGATTTCAAAACTCACCCACACCTGAAAACTGGCATAATTCCACACACCATACTGTTTCCATAATTCCTTGTATTCATGCTGCTCACACCTCAGAACTTAAAGTCTATTTTTATTCACCTTTAGTTTGCACGATAGTATCTTCAGAAAATATCATGGCTTCTTTTTTCAGCTTTAATTTAGTTTATTGGTACATTTTAGGGATACAGTACAGTTACATTCATTGTTGGGATCTTGTACCTCTACATGACGAGTCTTGATTCTGATTTTTTCCCCTTACCTCTGCCCTCCCTTCTTCTACACATACTATGTGCATATTTATGTGTAAAACTTCAGAACACCATGATGAAACATTCAAAAATGTACCAAATACTACGATTTTTGGTTTGGTTTGGTTGGATTAGCTCATAAGCACATAAAACTTGAAAACTGGAGAGAGACTCCCTATAGACATTTCCAGTCTGTAACTCCAAAGATAATCAAGAAAGTCAGTTTTGCAGGTAACTGCGCTTTCAGTTATGCAGAAACTTGACATACATATTTTTCTAACAAAGACCTCCACGTGCCATATGAACATTTTTACTTCGGTGCAATATCTCTTCCACAATATTTACTGATTCTCTTCTTCTTCATTCCCTTTGCTGCAGGTCATCTTCTGATTCCCGAATAACACTGATGGAGAACAGGACAGAGGTGACCGAGTTCCTCCTCCTAGGACTCACCGATGACCCACACCTGCGGCTTCCCCTCTTCATCACCTTCCTCCTCATCTACACCCTCACCATGGCTGGGAACCTGGGAATGCTCCTGCTGATCCTCCTGGACCCTCGTCTGCACACTCCCATGTACATGTCACTCCTAGTCATGGCCGGGCTGCTTATCAGAGACCTGGTCATTTCCTACGGCACTTGTGCTGCTCAGTTGTTCTTCTTTGTAGGTTTTGCAACTGTGGAAAATTACCTCTTGGCCACGATGGCCTACGACCGCTATGCCGCAGTGTGCAAGCCCCTGCACTACACCTCCACCATGACAACAGGAGTGTGTGCCTTTATGGTCACAGCCTCCTACATCTGCGGTTTCCTGACAGCCTCCATCCATGTTGGGGACATATTCAGTCTCTCCTTCTGTAACTCCAATGTGGTCCATCACTTTTTCTGTGATGTTCCAGCAGTTATGGTTCTATCCTGCTCTGATAGACATGTCAGTGAGCTCATTCTTTATTATCTTGAGAGCTTTAACATCTTTTTTGCTCTCCTTGTTATTTTGATATCCTATGTGTTCATTTTTGTGACCATCATAAGGATGCCCTCGGGTACAAGATATAGGAAGGCTCTGTCCACCTGTGCCTCCCACCTCACTGCCATCTCCATCTTCTATGGGACAATCATCTTCACATATCTGCAGCCCAGCTCCAGTCATGCCATGGACACTGCCAAAATTTCATCTGTATTTTACACCATGGTGATCCCCATGTTGAACCCCCTGGTGTACAGCCTGAGGAACAAGGAGGTCAGGAGGGCTTTCACAAAAATTGTTTGGGGGAAATATAATCATTAAGACTTTAATTTTACTGTTACAGGGTGACAATATCTAGTTTCAGATATCTCTAACCTTCGTGAACGAATTTTAATTTTAAGACCTACAATGAAGTCCAGTGCCTGTAGTGAACCTTAATATAATAGCCAGCTTTATTTAAAGAAAAGAGAGGGCCAGGGATTTAGATCAGTCTTGCCACCACCTGCCTAGCAGGTAGAAGATCCTGAGTTAAATCCCTGATACCAGAAAGAAAAGAAAAGAAATGATTATGTGCTAATATGAAATTTTTGTTCGAGTAAGATAACTCAGGATATAAATGAGTTAGGAAGTCATATTACGTCTATTTAACATTAATCACTGCTTCGTAAAACCGGACCACAGGGAAACCCAATAACAAGACTGAGTTCAGAAGTTTCCTAACGTCACAAATGCCCTGGTAGGGCAGGAGGATTTGCCAATTAATTGTAGGATGGATATTTGTGACCAGTTATTTTATATATCACTCTGCCTGAGCCTAGGGCAAACCCAATTACCTGTTAACATATTCATGTGTGCTCCTATTAGGGTATTTATAAAGGTCTAAATGTGTTAATCCTAAAATGAAGAGACAACTCTGCACTCCACAGGGTGGGTGGCCATCATCCAACCACTGAGATTTCCTGGAATAGAACACAGAGGTGCACAATGGCAGATCCCACGACTCCCTCTTCTTTAACTGGAAGTTCCATCTCCTCTCCCTCTGTGTCTCAGAGCTCCCGCTTTGTAGGCCCCGGTGTCCAGATTCTGGCCAGAGTTCCAGCTCACCCTGCCCAAGTGCAGGCTCTTAGCTCAGACTGAACTGCACCCCAGCCTTTCCAGCTCTGAAACCGGCAAGGACTTTCAATCCCTTCGTGGAGTCAGCCCAGGAAATAGGCTACATGGGCTGTGAACAAGGCTGTAGGGACGGGGCTTCCCAGGTCCTCTAAACTCATCTCACCACGTGCACAGGCTCTCTCATGGAACTACACTACTTAAGGTTTGCCCTCTGCATTTAGGTCTGGCTTTGGTGTGATTCATGTTCATCCCCCTATTTCGGGGGGGGCACATGTGTGTGCATGTGCATGTTGTAGGACTTTTTATGCTGTGTCATTGTGGGATATGTACATTGCTTCTGATTTTTATACAGATGTATGGCTAAGGGTTTGCCCTGAGTCTCAGAAGAGACTTCAACTTAGACTTTTAAAAAGTGCTAAAACTGTTGAGATCTCTAGAAAGCATTTTGCATTTTTTTGTTGGACACAAGATAGTTGTATCATCATAGGTGGAATTCTGAACTCCATTTATTGGGGGAGTCAGGATGGTTTAAGGAGATGTGTTCTGAGTATCCAGGTGTTGAGGGTGGGATGTGGCCATTAGGATACACCACAAAATGAATTGACTTTGGGGCCCACTTCACGGGTGGGAGGAGCAGGCTCTGCCCTAGCTGGGTGGGTCATGTGGAGGCTTTGGGTCCACATCTGTCCTTCACCCCTAACTTTCTGGCACTGTTCCCCTCCTATGCACACTTGCCACCATGAACCAAATAGCTCTGCTGTGCCACTCCCTCTTACAGGGTATTTCTGCCCTGAGGCTGCCAACCATGCTGACTCTCCTGGATCCATGACCTAAACTGAACTTTTTCTCCTTGTGCTCTGAATGTTCGATTTGTGTTTCAGGGACAGGAAGGCTACAATATCCTCTGTATCTCTATCATGAAGACAATATCAAGGGCTTGGGTGTTTGTGTTATTTGTAAAATCAGGAAGTATTAGTCTTATTCTGTTCATTCTCAACACATCTGGGCCACTCAGGTCCTCTGCCTTTGCATATGCATTATACCACTGGCTCTCTGTTTTATGGAACAGGCCTTTTGAATTTTAACACCAGCTCTCTGATGGAGTGGAAAGCGTTTCCTGTGCACATATTCTCCAACGCAGGCGGATGAAGACTTCAGCTGCAGCTGCGCCTGCAGAGCCATGCGGTCACCTCAGACCTTGACACAGGACAGAGACAACTGGAGGGTCACGGGTGTGCTTCCACCCACACAGAAACACTCCCATCAGTTCTTGCTGAAGTGCCCTGTCTGCAGCTCGTACACGGCTCACCTGCAACTGAGCAAGCTACGTAGAGAAATACAGGCTTGGACGCCAACATCTTCTGTGCTCTGTGTTACCCATACGTGATTACTTTCTAAAAATAAAACATGAATGCTTAACTTTATGGCGTGTAGATACTACAAATGTCCTGTGGTTTGTATATAGCATCTGACAGTAGTCTTAGCCACTATTAGAAGATGAGATCTTATTATCTATCTTTTCTGGGTTCATCAGCCGTCCCTCTGCCAGCACAAAATACCTGAACCCAGAAACTTACAGGAAACTTTAATTTTGGCTCACAGTTTCAGAAGTCTCCACCCATGACTGTCTGACTGCAGACTCTAAATAGCTTGAAGAAGGGCCTGCTAGAGGGAAGATTCTCAATTCCTGGTGGGAAACAGCAGAAGGACAAGGGACAGGGAAAGAGTCAGACCAGGAAACATGACCTCCAAAGGATAGGAATCCACCCACCTCCCAACAGCCCACGCAGCTGTGAATTCACTGACTTACGACAGAGTTTCGCACCCTCATCCCTCATGCTCCAAGCATCTTCCGAAGACCCCACGTCTGAGCCCACGAGACCCTGGGACACATCTTACATCTAAACCATAAAATGTTCCTTTCTGATAAAGCTGAAATTGGGAAAAGTTAAGTTCTGAAGCTCATCTGTCTTAGCCACATACCCTTCTTATAACCATACCCAGACTTGCACGGTAAGCTTTCCAGGGACTGCAAGCACAGAGAGGACAGAATGGACCAATTCCCTTCACGGAAAAAAGCTACTCCTGGGTTTCAAATGAAATGGTAAGGTTGTGAGGGGTTTTCTTATTAAACACATTTGAAAGGGTATTCTTATGAAACAAGAAATCTATTACACAGGCTGTGACAGTCACGAACAGCATTATAGTATACACATCAAAATAGAAGAAAGAATTTTCAATATAATATTTGATTCGCAACTAGAACACATTTAGGTTAGTGGGTAAAGGGCCCTGAGTTTGGAAGTACACCTGATAGGTGTGTACTGAAGAGTCACACTGTGCTTTCTTATTTCAATTATTGTCTGTAATTAAATAAAATTATTAAATAAATAAAAATAAAATAGCATAAAAAGTGTTTTCAGAGAAGACAAAGCACCTTTCAGAAACAGTAAAACTGAGAGTGAAAAAATTAATCTTAAAACTGTGACTAAATAGGAATACCCTATATTTGGGAAAGGAAAATGAGGAGGCCTCTTCCATGAACATTTGGGAGTTCTTATTGGATGAAGTGCATTTGTGACATGACTAAACAACCCCATTACTGCATATTTACTCAAATGAAACACAATGCGATATTCACACAAAAATGTTAGAAAATGTTTTGATCAACTTTATTCATAATCACCAAGCACAAGATCAGGAAATGCTTCCCTGAACTAAAAGTGAGAAAAACAATGTATGAAGTTCATTTTTTACATTCATCACCATAACAAAATATTTCCCTACAAATATATGTAGCAAAATCTGCCCCACCTGAGTTCATGCTAAGGAAAAGATGCTATCAGAGCCCACTTCTACAATTTGAAGTAAGGACATTTTTGCAAAGACAAAATTATATAGAAAAATGGTTTACTACTTCTCACAAATTGGGTACAAAAGAGGTTGACAACACAAAGATTAGGAAATTGAATAATAGTTGCATGACTTCACATTTAACAAACATTGTTAGAACTCTAATATATTGTGCATATCACTCTGTGGGATTATACAGTAATGAGTAATTTACAAAGCACACGTAAATACTGAGAATATCCAAGTTATTCCCCACAGGCAGTTCGCTTCTTCCCTAGGAAAGAGGGAAGGGAGCTGCAGGTGCTGTCCCCGGGAAGTCCCCAGAGCCCGTGTCTGTATAATTTACTCCTGCTTCCTCTGCACTGGCTTCTGATATCACCCACGACTCCGGGCCGCTTCCCTTCACAGGGCCCAGACCGAAGTCCTCCCCCTTGAACAGCCTTCCTTCATCTGAACGGAGACAGCTGCTCATGCAAACGGGCTTTCTCCCAATTTCATGATTTTCTGGGAGCCTGCGACATAGTTAAGGGCAGACCTCAAAAATTAGTTCAAGTGATTTGAAAACAATGCTCACTACTTATAAACACAGTTCTGTGAATCGGTGACAGAGGTAATTTTACTGGTTTTATTTTACAGTTTAGGAGGAGGTAAGTGACTCTTCTAAGGATCTAAAGAAAAATGTGTGGTAGATTCTGGACTTGAATCCGTATTAATACCCCTTGCTCCATGGGTTCCTTCCCACCTCAGATACCCAGGAAACATTGACCTGAGGGTGAGCTTTTCTGCTACAAGTGCTGCATTAACCTGTTGTTGAATTTCTGATTTTAGCTTCCCTGTTGAGAGTGCTGCATGTTTTCAAGGAGCTAAGTGAGCTACTGTAATCAAAATGCACTCTTAGGAAAACGGTATCTCATGTAGGAGCCATGGAACAGCTATAACTACTGTCATTTATTAAGCACAGAAATCTGTTTTAATTTCTTTCCTTAGAAAGAGGTGACTGGAGATTAAATGTCCAAAATCCCATCAGTGGGCAGGCAGTTCTTAATTAAGGTACAGCATGTTGCTCTTCTAAAAATTTAGTCAAAAACAACAGTATAGGTCATGCGATGACTGGTGGTGGACATTTCCTCTGCTTCCTAGATGATATTTTAGTCCTGGGGATAAAGGAAAAAGAAACTGAGGAGTGAAAGAAGCCCTACTTAAGTTAGACGAAGCATCAAAAAGAATCAGCAAGTTCTGAATTTCACTTTAATATTTTACCTGTAACTTTGTCCTTATCAATTCCAGCACCTCCATCCACAATACTACAGTGTAACTCAGTCACAAGCTGCTTATTATATCAAACAGAGTTTAAA